AGGGATGTGTTGTGCGTACTTTTTTATTTTGGGGGGAGGTTGGGGGGTTGATGTGTGTTTTTTATGTGACATGTGGTGATATGGGGGTTTGGGTTTTATTCAACAATTTTGTGGGGTGGGGCGGTGTAGTCGGTGGGGGTTGTTTGTCTAGGTACTCCTGTTTAACATCATAAAAATCCATTCTATTTTGTTAAAAAATATCTCAATTCCAAAACACCCTTCATGTCGTTAATATTTATGTTCTACCCTTTCGCCAAGCTGTCAGGTCACTTTTTTATCTTCGTTTTATGAGTAGTTCATTAATAGCAATTTCTGATTCTGGTTCTTCTTGATCTTAGCTGTGGAGAAGTTACGGGGTAGATATGAGCTTTATTGGCATTGACTTTTTTTGAGGTTTATCAGGAAGAGAAAGTATGTTTTGGTTGTCTATATTTTTTTTGTTGTTTCCGGAACCTCTAAGATAAAAAATGGTTTTTTTTTTTTATCTGATAAGGTAGTTTTCATAGATAGGGGTGTAGTTTATTTATAACTTTTTTATCACATATTTTCTGATATTTTTTCAGGGGGGGAGAGGTAAATGGGGGTGTGAGGAACGAGTGAAGAGATGAAAGTTTTGACTGGAACCAGGGGAACGGAAGACTCAGCGTGTTCTTCTTTTCAGGTATATAGTTTTTTTCGTCAGGGGTAGAATATCATAAGGAGGAAATAAGAGACACTGAATCTTGGGCACCTCATTCTGGCATGGAAGGAAGTAATAATCTTCTTTGTCATAGAGGGAGGTGTAGATGCGGGGGCTGATGACGGGAGCTGCGACGGTGCTGTGGGGGAGGTCAACACCCAAGGGGGTGGACAAAGTTGTATTTTTCTGTTTCTTTTTTTTACTTTTTTTTTTTTCTTTTTTTTTTTTTTTATCTTGTCAGGATTTTGATTGGGAGGGAAAGGGAATTTATTTATCTTTGTAATACATTTTTATTTTTAGTACCAGGTCCTGAGCGGGACTAATATTATGTACCATGTCGCAAAGTAAGAATGGAACAGAAAGGAAGTAAGAAGATCGAAAAGAATAGTGCTCAGAGTCAGTTTGGATAGAAAAAAACCAAGTACCCATCCATATTAATTGACCACTAAAACCACAAAAAATACAGACCTAAAAAAAAACGCTTCACGCCCTACAGAAAAGAAGACTAAATAAGATTAATTAAAACTACAACACCACCTTTTTACAAACTTAGGCTAGTGGGTTTGCGCGACTGGGAACCGGGCTTTAAGTGTAAAAATCGTAAGAACTTTGATCTCACCCTTCCGCCCGGCAGGGCGTTTCATACATCCTTGCTCTCTCCCTACCCACGCTGCCTCACCCCCAGGCCCCACCTCAGCGCCCGCGGCTTCCCATATAATAGAAAAGTGTGTGTGCCGTGGGTCGGGTGTGGGGTTGGCAAGGTTGGTGGGTAGTTGTGTGCTTGGGTGTGGGGCTGGTTTTTATACCTATTTTTAATAAAAGCATAAATACATTGTTTTGTGCTTATATAAATATGAAAAGATTTTTCCTTCATTTATATTATCTATAGAAAAGCGTAGGTAGTTAGCAAACATGTTGCGTAGTTATGGGGTGGGTGGAGTAGTTTAGTGGATATTATATTGTGTAAGAATTTGGAAGGGAATGCTGGTGGTGTTTTACTGAGCCCCCGGTTCCCACATCTTTAAACCAGAGTAATGGATAAGAAGAAAGTAATGTCTGAGGGGATGAGGGCGGAGGGGATTAAGATATGAAAAAAGAACAAATAATGGCTAGGTTTAGAAGGATGGGTAAATTTAGAAAGAGAACAAAAGTGGGCGGAGAACAAAGGTAGATATGTGTGGGGAGGTGGTGAGGATGCAGCAAAAAGAGATAATATGGAAATAAGGAGGGAATGGAACAAGGAAAAAAAAACGGGGGGGAAATTATAAAGGGGGGGAAAAGTACTACGGGGGGACAGGGATGGTAGATTAAAAAAAAAAGGAAAAAAGGTAAAACAAGTGAAGGACGAAAGGTAAGAAAGGGAATATAAGAATAAGAATTGAATTTTCTGTTTCATAATAAAGGGATGGGGAAGGTATAGTACTATTGTAAATTAAGGAGGTGGAAAGTTGTTTATAGTGTAATTGATGAAATTGAAAAGAGGAGGAAAAATAATATAAACAATTAGTAGGTAAGGGTAAGTAGATATACAAAGAAAAAAAGAAAGAGCAATTGTTTTGGGGAGTTGTAAAGTTAAGTCAAAAAAGAAGAAAAAAGAGAAAGAAGGAGAGGAAGGATGGGGGGGGGGTGGGGGTAAGTTGAAAAAAGAAAAAAATAAAAAGTAAAATAAAAATATATAAATTGGAAGAAAGACGAAAGAAAAAATGGGGGGAGGGGTGGGGGAATAAATAGGATGAGATAAGTGGAGAATAGGGGGGGGGAGGTGGGGGGGGTGGGGGTTGGGGGAAGGCGGGGGAAGCTAAAAGGATGGTGAAAAGAAAGGAGGGGCGGGTGGAAGAGAAAAGTCCAAAAATTTAAAATGGGGGGGGAAAAAAAAGAAAAGCGGGGGAGAGACAAAGGGGAAAGGGAAAAAGTGGAAAGAGAAAGAACAAAAAAAAAAAAAGGAAAAAAGTAAAAAAAAATAAAAATCATAGGGAAATAGTTATTTTGGTTCGAATACGGATAAGGGTGGATGTGGTCGGAAGTAAAAAAAGTTGAGTCTATAGTCGGGGTTTGTTAAGATGTCTGTATAAAAGTTGAGTTGATAGATAGAACAAAAAAAAAAAAAAGAAAAAAAATATAGTATCGCTGGGGGGATGGGGGGGGGAATAAGTGTAAAAAAGAAAAAAAGTGGTTTGGCAGTTAGGAGGGGGAGAAAAAGTGGAGAAGAAGGGCAATAAGGACATAAATTAGGGAGGAAAAGAAAAAACGCTGGAAAAAAAAAATAAAAGTAGTTGGAGAAAAGAGGGGGGTAAGAGGAGAGAAAACGAGGTATGAAATGGGAAGGGGGGAAATGAAAAAAGTACAAAAGAGTGATTTATTACTTAAAAGTTGTCCGTTTAATTTATAGATTTCAAATAAATTAGGTTTTGAAGAAAAAAGAGAGAAGGGGAAAATAAAAAAAGTTTTTATATGGTAATGAAATAAATTAAAGAATATAAGGTTATAATAGAAAAAATAGTCTGTGAATACGGAATGGGATTATGTGGAGGATTAGGAATTTGACACTGGTGGCATGTCTTATATTATTGTGAATAGTGGTTAACTATTTTTTGGCAGGTGTAGTTTTAAATAAATAAGTTAAAAGAGAACTAAGGGGGTGCGGAAATAGGAAATGTAAATAAAATTGGTCCACTGAGGCATGATAAAAAAATAATTTAAGAATATAGGGAGAGAATAGAAAAAATAGATGAAATAAATAGGGAAATGGTTGTAGAAAGAGGGAAACATTTGGGGGGGTGGAAAACTAGATAATGGGAATTGGGGGAAGGAAAGAAACGTGATGGAGAATTAAAGAAGACAAGTGGTCATTGTGAGATGTTTTTAGTTGTGGTGTGGAGAAAAAGGGTGTTTGGTTTTATAATTAAGATAGGTAAAGGTAATTCTATAAAAGGTTGAGGGTAATAAGTTTGCAGGTGTTGTCTTCTATAATAACTTTTATGTTAGGTTGTCACTTACTTGTCGATTGATTGGCTCCGATTTCAAGAGAAGAATTTAGGAAAGAAGGTAAGAATAAACAAAATATAATAGAAAACTGGCGGGAGGGACAGGCAAAAAATAGAACAAGTAATAAGCAGGAAAATAGTGTGAATAAAGCATTTTTTACAATAATATTTATCACACAACCAACCCTCCCGCCCGCCGCACCCCACACCCCCTCCTCGTCCCCTCCCCTCCCTCCCCCTCCGCGATCCCGCGCCACAGCACGCCAACTCCCACCTTCTAGTTAAAAAAAAAAAAAAACAATTATTGTTACCACACCATGGTATCCTGTTATACGCCCCATAAATACAAATTACTCTTCACCACAGCCGCTCTTACCCTGCTATTTGGTAGTCGTGGAATGCCATAGTGAAGGGTTTTAGTTTTGATTTTTTATTATTATTAGTGTTCATTCCTTGCTTTTCTGTGGTTGTGTATTCTGTGTTTTTTTATTGTTTTTTTTTTTTTATCTGTTTTTACCACTTTTTATTCGCAAGCGGCAGATAAAGGGACATTTCACCTTTGAAGCGATATTTTGTTGGATCAATCATTATATTACACTAATATCATTTTATCTACGTATTTTCGTTCTGGAGATATTTTGTCTTTTTTTTCTATCATAAAAATAACGCTCTGCTTATTCACGGGAACGGGATAGGATACCACCTATAGTCCAACAATTTGATATTATTAACGAAAACTATAACGGTGGATCTGTTTCAACCACCGCGGGGGGGAAGAAGTAATTGGTAAAATCCAATTGTACAATCATAAACCTCAATCCGTGGGCCGTTCATTATTTTGGAATGATGTTACGTTTATGAATACTAAACTCTAGTCTCATGGGTGAAATATTGAACTTCTCTTATTCAGCATGCTCCTATGCAGCTAACCCTGAGAAATGGAGGATATTGTTTCCTTTCTATATCTTATATCCTGCCAAATGTCCTTCGGTTGGGTGACGCCTGCGCTCGGATCAATCTACGTAAGTGTGTGACTTGTCACTTCTTATCCGGATAGGGGGCAGTTGCGGTAGGGGTGGTGATTTGTCGGTGCTGGTGCATGGAGGGGCCGGGGGTGGGGTGGTGGGTTGGCAGCTGAATGGAAGACCCTCCCCAAAGTCAGGATTTTATAGAACAACCCTATTAATACGAATATGGTTCATTAATTTTTATACCGCCGTGGCCCAGAGATAATCGTTTTTTTTTTTCATTCTCTGAGTATCAAATGAAAACGAAGTTAAGTTAGTTAATAGGTTGTTAGCTGCACGCAGCGGGCGGAACGCGACATAATACGCCGAAAAACGGCTGCATCTCTATACCCGACGCTATAACTTACTACGAAAGCCACGGACTTGAGAGGTTGGGCAGAGAGCGGATAATTCAT